GCCAATGGCCTGGGAGAAGTAGTGGAAGATGGCCCAAGTGTTTGGGCCTCTGCCACCCACATGGGAGACCTGGGTGAAGCTGCCGGCTCTTGGCTTCAGCTTGGCCCAGCACTGGCCATTGCAGCCATCTGGGAAGTGAACCAGGGGATGGAAAATCTCTCCCTCTTTGTCTCTCTCTCTAACTCTGACTTTCAAAATGAATAAATAAATCTTAAGAAGAAGAGGAGGAGGAGGAGAAGCCAGGTTTTGAACTCAGGTTCTACAATATGGGATGTAAGTGTCCTAAGTGGGTTTTTTTTTTTTTTTAATTTTTTGACAGGCAGAGTGGACAGAGAGAGAGAGACAGAGAGAGAAAGGTCTTCCTTTGCTGTTGGTTCACCCTCCAATGGCCACTGCAGCCGGTGCGCTGCAGCCGGAGCACAGCACTGATCCGATGGCAGGAGCCAGGTGCTTCTCCTGGTCTCCCATGGGGTGCAGGGCCCAAGCACTTGGGCCATCCTCCACTGCACTCCCGGGCCACAGCAGAGAGCTGGCCCGGAAGAGGGGCAACCAGGACAGAATCCGGTGCCCTGACTGGGACTAGAACCCGGTGTGCTGGCACCGCAAGGCGGAGGATTAGCCTAGTGAGCCACGGCGCCGGCCACTAAGTGGGGTCTTAACTGCTGTGCCAGACACCTGCCCCTGTCTTTTTTTAAATTTTTTTTAATGAACTGGTTATTCAGACCCTTTGGTTTTCTTCAAGAACCATGGTTAATTTGTTTCTTTATTTAGAAACTCATATCAGAAAGAAAAGCTCTCTGGTATGAATTGGAAATATTTTTCCCAGTTATTTTTGTTTGCTTTCTTTTTTTTTTAAGTTTTTGGCTTTGTTTATGGTGTGTTTTTTTTTCCATCATGTAAAATTTTGAAACTTTTGTTCAGAATTAAAATTATCATTTGTTCATTTGCTTTATTTGAAAAAGAGAGAGGCCAGCGCTGCGGCTTACTAGGCTAATCCTCCACCTGCAGCGCCGGCACCCCGGGTTCTAGTCCCGGTTAGGGCGCCGGATTCTGTCCCAGTTGCTCCTCTTCCAGTCCAGCTCTCTGCTATGGCCCGGGAGTGCAGTGGAGGATGGCCCAAGTGCTTGGGCCCTGCACCCGCATGGGAGACCAGGAGAAGCACCTGGCTCCCGGCTTTGGATCAGCGCGGTGCGCCGGCCACAGCGGCCATTTGGGGGGCTGAACCAACGGAAGGAAGACCTTTCTCTCTGTCTCTCTCTCTCACTGTCTAACTCTGCTTGTCAAAAAAAAAAAAAAAGAGAGAGAGAGAGACAGAGATTCTCCATCCACTGGCTCACTCCCCAGATGCCTGCAACAGCTGTGGCTGGGCCAGGCTGAAGCCAGGGGTCTTGAACTCAATTTGGATCTCCCACATGGGTGGCAGAGACCCAGGGACTGGAACCCTCATCTGCTGCCTCCCAGGGTGCACATTAGCAGGAGGCTGTATTGGAAGCAGAGTTGGACCGCAAATTCAGAGCCTCTGCTATGGGAGGCGGACATCCCAAGCTATTACTTTACTGCTGGGTCAAACCCCTACCCCAGAAGTTTGAAATTTTATGCTGCAAAATTTGCCGGTGTTTTCCTATGGGTTGTGATATACTTGGAATTTCCACACTCTATGATTATTGTTTAAAAACTACTCTCCCATATTTTCTTGTACTTTAAGATTCTTCTCCCTTCCCCCTTTTAACTCTTAGCTCCACCTGGAGTTTATTTTTGTTTATGATGCGTGTATGGATCGACCTGCTCTTCTCCCATGGCTGCCGTCTTTCTCCCACTGCTTTGAAATGTTGCCTTACACCACATCTCCCTGGCTAGAAGCTGTTACTCGGGGTGTTTGTTGGCTCAGTTAAGAATAATTTGTAATATTGCCTTTAATTTCTTTTTTTTTGACAGAGTTAGACAGTGAGAGAGAGAGAGAGAGACAGAGAGAAAGGTTTTCCTTCCGTTGGTTCACCCCCCAAATGGCTGCTACGGCCGGAGCTGCGCCGATCCGAAGCCAGGAGCCAGGTGCTTCTCCTGGTCTCCCATGCGGGTACAGGGCCCAAGCACTTGGGCCATCCTCCACTGCCTTCCCGGGTCACAGCAGAGAGCTGGACTGGAAGAGGAGCAACCAGGACTAGAACCCAGTGCCCATATGGGATGCTGGTGCCACAGGCGGAGGATTAACCTAGTGAGCCAAGGTGCCAACCCCCAGCCTTTAATTTCTTAAGACAGCAGTCAAGTGCCTGTCAGAGCTCTGTGAGCACAGGGCCCCTCCCCTCCACCCCTGATCCACTGCCCCCCGCTGCTGCCAGGCCCATCCATCTCACTCTGAAGTGTTGGGCCGGGAAACGGTTTCTGACCCCTGGCCTGGGAATGTCCCTTAGAGGACGACTCATCTCGCATGCAGCGTCATTCAGCAGCCCTGGTGCCAGCCACCTGTCTACAGATTCCAGGGTTGGTACTCGAATGAGAAAAGAGGCTTAGTAGGACTCCAAAGAAAATGGGGCCTCTCACCAGCATCTAGTCCTCAGGTTGTCCTCCTATCCAGAATCATAGTTACTTTTTACAATTTCAAAAGTTTTTCTTTATTATTTGAGAGGTAGAAAGAGAGAGAGCGAGCTCCCATGGGCTGGTTCACTTTCCAAGTGTCTGTAATGACCGGGGCTGGACCATGCCAAAGCCGGGAGCCTGGAACTCAACCCAGGCCCCCCACATGGGTGGCAGGAATCCAGATTCTTGATGTAAGACGTGGCCGTCTCAACCCCTGTCCCACAGTCTGACTCTGGCAAGCTTACTTGTGTCCTCCTGAAAGAAGTGGCTGGGTCAGACCAGGTTCTGGCAGTACTTAACGCTGGGGATGCGGGGGTAGAGGTCGGCTCTTGTCACCTGAAACTGTGTAAGGTCAGAGAAGAGTGTGGCCTTTTAAAAGAATTCTCTGAAAGGTTCACGGAGTTCCACATGGGGGTTGGGGTTGCTGGAGGCGGCGGCGTGTGTGGGGTTCCTGGTGCTGCACCCAGGGCCAGGTGTTTGCCCAGCCCGCGTGGCTCAGCGTGGCAGGGGCTGCCGGAGGCTTTCCATCTCATCCAGTCTTATAAAAATTTTTTTTTTTTTTTAATTTGGACTGCTCAGGGAGTAGTTGTCACTTTCCACTTTGGGATAGTAAATGTTCTCGGTGTTTGAAAGAACTGGTGGCAGTGACACCCCAGTGGAGTCGGGGTGTTGACCTTGGGGCACCCAGGACGGAGCGTAAAGAGGGCAGCAAGGCCGGGAGAGTCAGTTTCTTTGTTGTAAGCTGGTTTTCACCTACATTTTTATTAACTGGTTTTTCCAGACAACTAAGTACTTCAAAAACATAGATTTACAAAGGACACAGTAGAATTCCTTTGAAATGGTCACGCTGAAGTAAAGAAATAATACCCACGTAACAGGCTTCCTTATTCCGAACGGTTGTGATGTCTGGCAGAGCGGCACAGGGCAGAACAACCACGCACTGTGGCCGGTGTGCCCCCGCCTCGCTCGGTGACATTCGGGTCGACAGGAAGCCCTTCCCAGAGATGGCAGCGGATCTCGCCCATGAGAGCTCCCCTGATTGCCCTTCCTGTCCCATTTTTTAGGCCCAAAAGTCGGGTTGTTCTAGTACATTCATGCGTGCCCAGAGTTCCCATGGCTGGCTGCTCCTTGTAGGGTCAGCTGAGGATGCTGCCTTTTGGTGAGCTCCCCCCACCCACTCCTCTCCCACCCATCACCCGTCCTCTGCACCGGGGCCCACTTGGGTGGTAGCCTCCCCCTCCCTACTCCCACCCCATCACTCAGTAGCTGAGCAAACTCAACCACCGACAGAAGGTCCCATGCTGAGGGGTACTTACCCCTTCCAGACTTCCCCGGGAAGAGCAGGTGACCTTCCACATGGCAGGAGCACGTTCTACGTGGGTCTGGCCTTGTGGCTGCCAGAGTGGGGCGTTTCAGGGAGCGGAGGGGAGATGGCAGTTTTAACAGAAAAAACGTTGCGTGGAGATGATCCCGCCTGGCTGCCTCGGGCGTGTCCCTCTTCTGGGCATCTCTTCAAGATTTCATTCCTCCGTCCAACTGCCGCTCACAACTGCCCTTTCCAACCGCTCCAGAACTCTTGGCCCTGGCATTCCGTGATGTAAATTATTCCACGCATGGCTCGAAATGGGTGCGAAGCAGTGTTGCCAGGTGTCGGATCACTAGTGTAAGTTGAGTGGTTCTCGGGGGAGAACCGCTCGTGGAGCGCGTCCGCTTGTTGTTTCCCAGCCAGAGTGCAGACGCTGCGCTCCCCGAGCCTGGGCCTGGAGCGGGAGGGAACTTTTGGTTGTGATTTTCTACTTTAAACATTCCGGGGTCGGGATACAGATTATTTGCAACGGGCCAAGGGCAGCGCTGCTGCAGAGGGAAGAACACAGGCCTGGGGTGGGGGGCCGGGGGCCGGAGCCTGCAGCCAGGCTTCCTGGAGCCAAGTGCCTGCTCTCCTGCCTCAGCATGCGGGGAGAAGCCGCGTTGCCGTCCTGTCCTGAAGACGGCCAGCATGCGGCAGGCGGCCTGGATTGCTCCCCACGCTGAGTGCCCTCCGGTCGGTCGCACAGGGAGAAGAGCTCTGGCTCTCTGAGATCTTTTCTAAAACAGAAAATGTTTCTCCCCGCTGACGCTGACGGGGTGTTGGGAGGAAGTTGCGGGTCGTGGCTGCCGGCCTCTCTGGGGAATCTGCATGTCAGGGAGGTGGCTGGCGGCTCGCTTTGATTTGTCTGGATTCTTTCATGACTTGTAAGTTACGGATTTGTTTTCAATAAAGACAATTCAAAGGGAATACTTTGCCTCTCAAAACCTCATTGATAATGAACAAGCCGAGGAAAACGGTGGCCTGCCAGCAGAGCGCCAGCTGTGTCTCGATGTCGCGTCGGCGCTGCCGGCCTCAGTCTGCTCCTCTGACCCACGTTTCCTCTTCTTCCTCTCCGTAGTTGTCATGGATGATGATGATGACTCGTGTCTCCTTGATCTTATTGGGTAAGATGCTCGCTCCACACCCAGGCTCAGTCGAGTGCGGGAGGTTTGCCAAACTGAAACCCATGAACCAGGGTAAACCTGGTGGGGTTTTTAAATAGATGAACTAATCAGCATAGGTGTGGTAGGGAGACAGAGAGACGTGGGCTGACTTGGGAGCCACAATTCAATAACCCCTCGGTAATTTACTTTCTGACAAAGGCCAGGAGGCAGGGAGTGATAATAGGAAAGGGAACGGCATCAAAATAAAAACAAAGCCAAGCACTATTACGTGAAACTGTTTTGAAATACAGAGAGGATTTTACCCAGGCTGTTTTCACTGGAGTAAAACAAAATCCTAAATATAGGTGACATTGCTTCCCCTCTTCTCTTTTCTAGAGACCCACAAGCTTTGAACTATTTTCTACATGGACCGAGTAATAAATCTGTAAGTACGACCCCCAACAGCCCAGCCACGCGTGTTTGCTTCTTCTCTCCAGCTGAAGTAACCACTCTCTTGACTTTGTACCTTGCAGAGCAGCGATGACTTGACTAACGCAGGATACTCTGCAGCCAATTCAAATTCAATATTCGCCAACTCTAGTGTGAGTATTGGAAACCGAATGCCATGACCAGGTGTTTCTGTCTTGTGTCCAGTGCCTTGAACTTGAGGCTTTCCTTGCCTTTGTATCACACTGAGACTCCTTGTCTTGTCTTTTGCAATTTACACAAAGCAAAACTCTGTTGAATTATAGTGACATTTTCTGCTTTGAACTTAGTCGTTATGAGCTTTACTTTGTCATTTTCCTGAGTGTTCAGCTTGCTTTCTTATGACACAGAAATGTTATAACCTGAGAAAGTATATTGGAATGTTTTGAGCCTTGATACTCTTGAGCTTTAAAGAAAAAAAAAAATTAAGCCGGCACTGCGGCTCACTAGGCTAATCCTCCGCCTGTGGTACCAGCACATTAGGCTCTAGTCCCAGTCAGGGCGCCGGATTCTGTCCCGGTTGCTCCTCTTCCAGGCCAGCTCTTTGCTGTGGCCCGGGAGTGCAGTGGAGGATGGCCCAAGTGCTTGGGCCCTGCACCCGCATGGGAGACCAGGAGAAGCACCTGGCTCCTGGCTTCGGATCAGCGCAGTGTGCCGGCCGCAGCAGCCATTGGGGGGTGAACTGACAGAAAAAGGAAGACCTTTCTCTCTGTCTCTCTCTCTCTCACTGTCAAAAAAAAAAAATTTTTTTTAATCTTAGTTACTTACAAATCACTTTCATCTTAAATGAGAAAGATAAGAGCTGACATTTATTGATTATTTACTGTGTGCTTAGCACTAAGGACTTAATATTCATTAACCTCATTTAATTCTAAAGTTAAAAAATTCTGTGAAGTTAGTTCTGTTATTATCCAGAGCTTTTGGATAAGGAAACAAACGCACAGAGAGGTTAAACAGGCCCAGGATTATACAGTCATGAGTTGCAGAGGTAGGATTCTAACCTGGGCTCCTAGGCGCTGGAGCCACATATATTTTTTTTGAAAATCAGAGTTACAGGGAGAGAGGGAGAGACAGAGAGAGAGAGAGAGAGATCTCCCATCTGCTGATTCACTCCTCAGATGGCCGCAAAAGCCAAGACTGGGCCAGGCGGAAGCCAGGAGCCAGGATTGTCACCCAGGTCTCCCACGTAGGTAGCAGAGGCCTAGACACATGGGCCATCATCCTCTGCTGCTTTTTCCAGGCCATCAGCAGGGAGCTGGGTCAGAAGTGGAGGAGCTGGGACTCCAACCAGTGCCCCTACAGCATACTGGTGTCACGGGCAGTGGCTTAACCCACATCGCCAACACCAGGCCTCGGAGCCATGCTCTTAAACTCGAGAGCATCTAGAGGAGAAACCTGGCCCAAGGGATAGGCGAGTCCAGCCTGGAGACTGTGTCAAGATTACTGTTAACAAAACAAAACAAAACAAAACAAAACAAAACAAAACAAAACAAAGGTTAGTAGACCAGTCTGGAAATCACTTGGCACAGCACACAGTAGCTGTTAGCTTGCCATCATCACTGGGGTCTTTGCTTTCTTTATCTGTAAAGTGGAGCAGTATTCAGAAAGTCCTTGGGAATGCACAATTCTTGCAAGTATTTGAGTGTGTATGAAGTGTGCCAGATGGTATCCTGCAAGACGCTATTGCGAAAGTGGCCTTAAAGTCACAGCACTGATTTCTGGTAAGGTTTGTGAGTCGAGAGCGTTTCTGACTTGCACTTTGAACAAGTAGTAACAGCGCGTGATGCCCCTGAGCCCAGAAGAAGGTACTTAGCCCGTCCCTCAGCAGTCACAATTCTTGCTTACCAACTCTCCTCCTGCCATGGGAGTGTTAATTCCAATTTTTCAGGCTGCTTTTTTCAATGTGCATTTATTGGGAACTTTTATTGCATCATGTCCAATGTAATGAAAACGTTAAAGTTTCTCTGAAGCCCGTGCACGTGTAAACCCGTGGCCTGTTCATTCATACTTAACCATCATCCCAAGGAGAAATCTGTCATCGCCTTGATTGCTCTCTGCAAAAAGCAAAAACAAACAAAAAATCCTCACTTGCTTTTAGTGGCTCTCTGCACTTTCTTTCAAAGAGTCTTCCATCCTTAACCTGACGCCCTCTGATCCCAGCTGCCCTTGTCTTCCCCACCTAGCTCGCCCCAGCATGTAGCCCCGGGCCTTCGTAGCTTAGGGCTGGCAGTCTGTGATTTTGCATGTGGGAGTACTCATTCTTGATTAATCTGTTTTTAATTTTGTTCTCCACCTTTCTTCTTTTTAGTTGTGGTGAACTACACATAACAAAGTCTCCCATCTTAACTCTTTCTTTTTTTTTTTTTTTATTTATTTTTTTTTTTTTATTTTTTTTTTGACAGGCAGAGTGGACAGTGAGAGAGAGAGACAGAGAGAAAGGTCTTCCTTTGCCGTTGGTTCACCCTCCAATGGCCGCCGCGGCCGGCGCGCTGCAGCTGGCGCACCGCGCTGATCCGATGGCAGGAGCCAGGAGCCAGGTGCTTTTCCTGGTCTCCCATGGGGTGCAGGGCCCAAGCACCTGGGCCATCCTCCACTGCACTCCCTGGCCACAGCAGAGGGCTGGCCTGGAAGAGGGGCAACCGGGACAGAATCCGGCGCCCCGACCGGGACTAGAACCCGGTGTGCCGGCGCCGCTAGGCGGAGGATTAGCCTATTGAGCCGCGGCGCCGGCCTCTTAACTCTTTCTAAGTGCCCACTTCAGTGGGGTTAAGTGTGTGCATGTTGTCTCCATCTTGTTTTAAATGGCTGCTGAGTCCATCTCATTCGCTTTTATAATCTCCATGCGCCCCGTGGGTGACTGCGGGCCCGTGGAGTGTCTCTGATGTCTCATCGGCTTGCTCTGGTCTCTTTTTCTGCCTGTGTTCTTGTCTCCAGTAGGAATACCTGTTCCTCAAGACAGAGACTGACGCGCAAGTGGGTGCTTGCTAAGCCTTGGTTGACTTTCAACTTTCGAATAAGACACTTAAATGGTTCTTTTTAAAAAGATGTTTCTTAAGAATATGTTGTTAAATATTGGAGTGGTTTTGGAAGCATGTTAATAAGCTGGTTGTTTCTAGAAGGCAAATGGCCAATCATGCAGGTTTTGTGGGAGCCGTGTTCATCTGGACCGGCCTTGCCTGGGGGTGGGGGGCGGGGTAGAGCGGATGCCTTCTGCACCTCTAGTAGAACAGCCCCCAGAGCTCCCTGGAGTCACACAGACTCCCGGGCAACAGAGAACTGGCCACAGCCCTCCTGCTACACCCTCTGTGGGCTGAGTTCCACACGAGCCTCAGACCAGGAATAATCCCAAAATCAAGTCTGTGCCAGTATCTCAACAAAACGAAGCGAAGCTCTAGGTAGTCCTCCAAATGTTCGTGTTACTGATCTGACAAGCACAGTGAGTGCGTGTACTCACAAACGTAATGTTAAGCTTCACTGCTAAGGAAATAAAATACCAGAGTAAGGTGAGCAGGTTGCAGAGTCGTGCGGGAGAGGCAGACGCATGCTTCCATCGTGCTCCAAAGTGCGATGAACTTGGCAATGCAGCTCTTCCACAGGTTGGCTCTGCTGTGTAACACGCTGCTGCTTTTTTCAGAATGCTGACCCTAAGTCGTCCCTCAAAGGTGTGAGCAACCAGCTCGGAGAAGGGCCCAGTGATGGACTGCCACTGTCAAGTAGCCTTCAGTTTCTCGAAGATGAACTTGAGTCTTCTCCGCTTCCTGATCTCAGTGAGGACCAACCTTTCGACATTCTGCAGAAGTCCCTGCAGGAGGCCAATATCACTGAACAGACGCTGGCGGAAGAGGCATACTTGGATGCCAGTATAGGCGCAAGCCAGCAGTTTGCACAAGCTCAGCTTCATCCTTCTTCATCAGCATCCTTTACTCAGGCTTCTAATGTTTCTAATTACTCAGGTCAGACGCTGCAGCCTATAGGAGTGACTCACGTGCCTGTTGGAGCATCGTTTGCAAGCAATACAGTGGGTGTGCAACATGGCTTTATGCAACACGTGGGGATCAGTGTTCCCAGCCAGCATTTGTCTAATAGCAGTCAGATTAGCGGTTCTGGTCAAATACAGTTAATCGGGTCGTTTGCTAATCAACCTTCCATGATGACTATTAATAACCTAGATGGATCTCAAATCATATTAAAGGGCAGTGGGCAGCAGGCCCCCTCCAATGTGAGTGGTGGGCTTCTGGTTCATAGACAGACTCCTAATGGCAACTCCTTGTTTGGGAACTCGAGTTCCAGTCCAGTAGCACAGCCTGTTACCGTTCCATTTAACAGCACAAATTTTCAAACATCTTTACCTGTGCATAACATCATCATACAAAGGGGTCTTGCACCAAACTCGAATAAAGTCCCAGTTAACATCCAGCCAAAGCCGATCCAGATGGGCCAGCAAAACACATACAACGTGAACAATCTGGGAATTCAGCAGCACCACGTACAACAGGGCATCTCTTTCGCCTCCGCAAGCTCACCGCAGGGCTCGGGGGTCGGTCCCCACATGGCTGTGAACATCGTCAACCAACAGAACACGAGAAAGCCCGTCACCTCACAGGCCGTGAGCAGCGCGGGGGGCAGCATCGTGATCCATTCCCCCATGGGCCAGCCTCATGCACCCCAAAGTCAGTTCCTCATACCTACAAGCCTTTCCGTCAGTTCCAACTCGGTCCACCACGTCCAGACCATAAATGGGCAGCTTCTTCAGACTCAGCCCTCTCAGCTCGTTTCTGGCCAGGTGGCCTCGGAGCATGTCATGTTGAACAGGGGCTCTTCGAACATGCTCAGGACCAACCAGCCGTACTCTGGACACATGCTCAACAGCCAGAGCACGGCGGTCCAGTTAGTGTCCGGGCAGACGTTCGCTGCCTCTGCAAGTCCAGTCGTGGTCAATCATGCCTCTCCTCAGATCGTCGGGGGACAGATGCCCTTGCAGCAGGCGTCGCCGACTGTGTTGCACCTGTCGCCCGGGCAGAGCAGCGTTTCCCAAGGAAGACCCGCCTTCACCACCATGCCCTCGGCGACAAGCCTGTCGGGACCCAGTCGCTTCCCTGCCGTGAGCTCAGCCAGCACCGCCCATCCTAGTCTTGGGTCTGCGGTTCAGTCTGCGGCATCAGGATCGAACTTTGCGGGTGATCAGCTGAGCCAGTCAAACAGGACTCCGGTAGCGGCCAGTGTGTCTCATCGTCTTCCAGTTTCTTCTTCCAAATCTCCCAGCGCCTTGAGTAACACGCCAGGAGCAGGAGCCCAGCAGCAGTTCTTCTGTCAGGTAATGCTCTTCTTCAGATAAATGTTTGACTGATGGCAGAGGGGGAAATGCAGTGTATATTGACTAGAATATCGTTTTCATCCTCGGCTCCCGGTTTATTAACTTGAATATTTCGGTTTGTGATTAATTGCCTTTTTTCCTTAATTAGAATTAAAAAAAAAAAAAATAACCAGCACCGTGCTGTGACTTGGAGGAGCCTGGAGTCGCGCTCCTGGGTCTGGGTCTAAGCTTCGTATCGCAGAGCTGCCGACCTGCTGTTCCGCACTTGGCGCTGCTCATCAGAATGCCGAATGCCGTGGGCTGATGGGGAGGGCCCGGGGAGGCAGTCCGCACGGAGCACTGAGTGCATTCTCTGCCAGGTAGCGAACGTTCCATCCGAGCCAGTATCAATGTGCATACGAGGGCGTCTTCTGGAAGTTCCTGGAAAAATGCAAACTATGTAACTACTTTGCATGGCTTTCGAATTCTTTTGTGTGCCAAAGTAAACTTACCTTTTAATTCCGTTTTTCCTACAAACTTTTTTGGGTGCTCTCATACACACTTACCTACTTGACAAAGTGTGTTATGAGTGGGGAAAATGAAAACTTCTTTTATGGTTATTCGTTGACATCATGTGCAAGCCACTAGGTCATGTGACCATGGACCACATGGCGATGTCGTGGCTGCTGCTTTGGGGGATTCAGTGTGACTCACAGTGGATAACTGGCCCGCACCAGAAGGAGACATACACAAGGGTACTTTAGAAGGGTGTGGATGGGGCAGCTGGTGTGGTATACAGTAGGCTAAGCTGTCACTTGGGACACCGTGTGCCACAGAGGAGTGCCTGGCTGAAGTCTGGCTACTCTGTGATCCCATCAGCTTCCCACTGATGTGCCTGGAAGGACACATATGGGACACATATGGGACACCCAGATGGGAGAGCCAGATGGAGTTCCTGGCTCCTGGCTTCAAGAAGTTAACCAGTGGATGGAAGATCTCTCTCTCTCTCTCTCTCTCTCTCTCTGTGTCACTCTGCCTTTCAATAAAAAATTTAAAAGGTCATGTGAAAATAGAATTAAAAGATATTTCTTTTGATACAAAACATGTTTGAAATTCATGCAGTTTTTTTCATAACATATGTTTTCAATGAATTTTCTGAAGGTCTCTCACATGCATAGATTTCACACTTTCGGTACTAGAATAAACTTGTCTTTTAATTTCCTTCCCCATGAACTTTGTGATGTTCCCTGGTAGAGGGGGGATTCAGGGCGCTCTATCTGGTCAAGTACCCGAGCTTGCTGTCGCCATGCTGTTGTGCAGGTGGATTGCTGGGTGCGTGGCTAAGACCATGGGCAGATTCCGTTTCTGGAAAGGGTCTCCAGTGATCAACGGCTTCGGCCCTTGACTCCTTCCACTCCGTCTCGTCCCTAGCACATGGCACAGTTCAGCTACTCTTCTTCCCACCCAGGAGGACCCATTGCGCTCCCTACCCCCACCCCACTTCTCCCTGTCCACTGCCTCTGCCTTTCTCCTCCACATCAGAAGCTTCACAAACTCCTCTGTTTTGCATGTGTCAGTGTATTTCAATATAAACCTTTTAAGTCTGTCTGTGTCAATCTCACGAAAACTGTATACTTTTGACTAAGTAATTCTACTAAGTATCCTCTGGAAACAGATGATTAAAAATCGTCCTTTGTCTTTGGTGATCCCAACATGTGTGAGGGCACACGCAATGCCTTTGTGCAGGGTGCCTAGGGTTGGGCTTCCCTGATCTTTCCTCCTGATCAGATTGAGGGCGCACATTTTTGGCAGGGGAAGAGCTGTGTCCTCGGGGCTCAGTGATGCAGCTTTGTCCCTCTGGGGATGTCGCACTGGTGTTGACTGGTGACATCAGCTTGGAGCACTTACTGAAGATGGGGTCTGCCAGAGTTCTCCACTCAGCTTCCTCCTGTTGTTAGTGAGAGTCTTCTGGGAGATACTTGGAGGCTTGTGTTGATAATCCAGTTTGTCATCGGACTTGTACACGCTGCTTTAAGCTTCCACTGATAATCCCTGGCTCAATCAGTTATTATGAAGCTATTACTGTGATGATGTGCGAATAGAGACGTTTTAATTCCATCATGTTTTGTGCACTTATTTTTGGTATTCTACTCTGCGGAAGAGCTTTACCTCTGCTCCCTGTACGTATTCATTTACATCAGTACGTACTCTCAGATTCTTATTTTTCCAGTGGGTTACAGACCGTTTCAGTCACTTATTTGGTGCTCAGATTGACCCAGATTTGGCCAGTTGGCACCCCTCCAAATTGGCCGCTGGCCCCTCTGACTTGTTTCTATCATACTTTAAGCATTTCCTTTAATTTCTGGCAAAACAACATGTTCCATGTTCATCTTTCAAGTTCCCCGCCCCTGCCCCAGAAACAAGATTTTTTTCAAGGAGCCCTTTCCCTTCTACTGGAGAACTATGTGTAGTCATTGCTACTGAGGTCATCCCAGCCAAGAAATACGTATATTTACGTGTACCTAATGTTTGTAGCTATTAAGACATCTCTGAGTTCATGTGGATACTTCTAATTCTGACCTACAGCTGCTGGATCCATCCAAGCCTCCCCCTTTCCCATACTTGTAACTGCGTGTTCAATATGTTGACTGACTTTACTCAGTCCTAGAATATGGAGAAAGTAGTTTCAAAATTGCCAACTCGCAACTATGAAAAACAAACCTACTAATTAGACTTCTGCATTGGTTTATAGTTCCATCCCTCGCCTAAAGATTTACAGTCAAAATACAGTATCGAGGGACTTGGGTTTGTTTAAGTGATTAAGTGATTAAGCCACTGCTTGGGACGTCTGCACCCTGTATGGTTGCAGGCCTGGTTGGAGCCCCAGCTGCTCTACTTCCAGTCCGGCTTCCTGCTAACGCAGACCCTGGGATGGAGCAGGTGATGGTTCAAGTACCTGAGTCCCTGCCACCCATGAGGGAGACCTGGATGGAGTTCCTGGCTCCTGGTGCAGCCTGGCCCAGCCCCTGGCTATGCAGGCCTTTGTGGAGTGAACCAGCAGACAGAACATCTCTCTCTTTCTCTCTCTCTCTCCCTCTCTATCTCTCTCTCCCCCTCTCCTCCTTTCTCTTCCCCTCTCTCTCAACCTCACTCCTTTCTTCTGCCTTTCAAATAAATAAACCTTTAAAAAAAGTTACCTCTTTTTTCTTCCCTTGGTATGGTTGTGCTCTTTGTTGAAGGTGTAGTTTTGTTTATTTTTATTTGTGTTTCAGTGCAGGCTTCTCTCCCCGCCTTTCTGACTGATTGTGTCTTTTTATAACTTCTTTGGGACATTGGAACCATTTGCGGAGCCCACAGTCAGGGTGCATGGGAAATAGACCTGGAGCAGGCCTGCTCCTCCCCAGCCTGCTCCTTGTGCCCCCTGCTCCTTGCTTTGCTGCTACTTCACACCCGTCCCCTATGTCCATCCATCTCTTCAGTTCCTAGTTTATTTTTCCTGTGTTTGTTTTCACACAAATGAACACATGCATACATATTTTTTTATTTCCCATCCTTTCTTACTCAAAACGTAGTGTCCTATAGATACTCTTCTTCACCTTGGTTGAAAAAATTTTCTGAAAACCCAAATGTCTTATATTAGCAAAATGATTATTTATGACAAAGTGCTATATAGGCATTTAAAATTTTTTCATGGGCTGGCATAGCAGGTTAGGCTGCCACCTGCAACACCAGCATCCTACGTGGGTGCTGGTTCATGTCTCTGCTGCTCCACTTCTGATCCAACTCCCTACTAATGGCCTGGGAAAAGCAGTGGAAGATGGCCCCAGTATTTGGGGCCTTGCCATCCATGTGGGAGACCTGAATGAAGCTCCTGGTGCCCGGCTTCAACCTGGTCCAGCACTGGCCATTGCAGCCACTCCCTCTGAAACTCTGACTTTCAAAATAAAGAGACCTTTTTTTTTTTTTTAAAGATCTATTTATTTATTTGAAAGACAGAGTTACAGAGAGGCAGAGGCAGAGAGAGAGAAGTTTTCCATCTACTATTTCACTCCCCAGATGGCCGCAACGGCTGGAGCTGTGCTGATCCGAAGCCAGGAGCGAGGAGCTTCTTCTGGGTCTCCCATATGGGCCATCTTCTACTGCTTTCCCAGGCCATAGCAGAGAGCGGGATCGGAAGTGGAGCAGCCGGGTCTCAAACCGGTGCCCATATAGGATGCCGGCACTGCAGGCGGTGGCTTTCTACACCACAGTGCCAGTCCCAGAAATAAATCTTTTTTTAAATTTTTCAAAAATAATTAAAGATTTAGAGAAAGGTTTACAAAATCATTTTCAGTGATTAAGTACAATGGCTTAATTGTTGTACCAAACACAAGCTCCTTGAATAGTAGCATTTTGACTCTAAGCCTTCAGGCTAATGACAGAAATGTTTAAGAAATGCTAAACTAGTTAATAAACAAATGATTTACACTTTCAGAAAAATCATGGGAGAAACAACATGATATATTAGATACTGAAAACTGGGCCGGTGCCCCGGCTCACTAGGCTAATCCTCCGCCTTGCGGTGCCGGCACACCGGGTTCTAGTCCCGGTTGGGGCGCCGGATTCTGTCCCAGTTGCCCCTCTTCCAGGCCAGCTCTCTGCTGTGGCCAGGGAGTGCAGTGGAGGATGGCCCAAGTCCTTGGGCCCTGTACCCCATGGGAGACCAGGATAAGTACCTGGCTCCTGCCATCGGATCAGTGCGGTGCACTGGCCGCAGTGTGCTGGCCACGGCGGCCATTGGAGGGTGAACCAACGGCAAAGGAAGACCTTTCTCTCTGTCTCTCTCTCTCACTGTCCACTCTGCCTGTAAAAAAAACAAAAAAAAAAAACAAACAAAAAAAAAACTGAAAACTGTCTTGCTTAGGAAGCACTCAGAAACTTGATTAGGAGGGAATGCACTATGGTACTTCCCCCTTATCTGTAGCTTCGCTTTCTGCTGTTTCCATTTCCTGCAGTCAACAGTAGTCTAGAAATAGTGAATG